AGTGCGGTTCTGTTAATGTCTTCCGCCGCCGCCGGCGTAACTGGCGGCGAGATGACCAAGGCGATGACTGGGAAGCCTCTGCTCTGACGGGCTGGTTGCATTGACCACTGTCTAAACTGCCGGGGATGGAGCTGAGGACGCACCGTGCGGGGAGGGACTCCGTCCGTCCGGCCCGACCGGAGCTGGCGGCTCAGGTGTCGGACCTCGTTAGGCGCGTCGCGTCGCATCCGTCGCCGTCGCCGCCCGAGCGTGTGCGTCGAGCAAACAGTCCTACACACACTTCCTCTTCCTCAGCGGCGGACGGCGGCGGCCGGCCCGACCCCACGCGCAGGCCGCCGCGGGCCTCACAGCCAGCCAAGGCCTCAGACACCTGGCTGGCCCGGTGCGCCGCCAGAAATCAAGGCTGCGGGCCTGGCGGCCCCCTCCCCGGCCAGTACACCTGGCCACAGCGTCAGTGTATTGTGTGACGAGCCGTGGTGACGAATAGAGAGAGACCGGATGGCGGCGGTGGCGGCGGCTTCATCCGGCCACCCAAACACTGACTGACAGTGGGACGGGAACGACTATTTGCAGCGCAGTCAGTGCGAACATGGGTTACATAATTTGCACATTGGGATGAGAGTAGGGCGAATCGTATGGAGAACACGACACACCCTACCGGCAGCAGTCAACTCTGATGGTTGTCACACATCAGTACTCTACGATTGTGATGTAACATCCGTAAGGTGGCAGCCATTTGTTTGGACTGCGCCTGTTCCAATTTTCCCTCGCCTCTGCAACGACATTCATGCCCACCACATGCATGTCGTTTACGCATCGTTTGAGTGCCTTGCGCTCCCGTTCCCCCTCTCTCGTCCGTCGAAAGTCCGCCGACCACCGCGACAAGCAGAGAGGCTCCGTTTGGTTGCGACTGGGTCTGAATCGTGAGGCTGCGGTACCTCGCCACGGACCGATATACCCGGCTCCTCGGTCGAATTCGTGTGTGGCGGCTCGGTGATAGCGCATCTGGCGGTTTTCACGGATGCGATGCTCCGCCGATGGCCGCGGCTCGAACACGGTTCGGTTGTGAGAAACGAACAAACCCCGGCGTTATTTGCATGCGATCTGAACAGTTTTCGGCGGAAATATGGCCAATTTGCCGGCCAGGTGGATGGTTTGGTTGATTTTGCGGCGCGAGTGAGCGCAGCTGTGGAAGGTCACGAGGCAGCGGTTGAGGCGAACAGTGAGAGGCTCCGACCGCCGCAGATAGACTGATGTCTGGCCGCGCGGAGGAGACGGCTTTGGTTGGTAGGCGGTCCTGCGGCTCGGCTATCTTGTCTCCTGAGAAGCCGCCGCGCTGAGCCGCGATTGAAACTGGTCTCTCCGCCGAGCCGCTGCCGCCATGATACCCTCATTAGAGAGACGCGACACGACGGCTTTACACGGCTCGGCTCGGCGATTTGCGAGGCCTGCTGATATGTAAGGCCTTGTGCTAAGGCCGCGGAGGTTCAATACTAGCCGGTGTCGAGCTCGTTATGCAAGTCTTACCGTTCTCACCATTCTCACATTTGCCGCCGCTTCGCCGCCGGCTGGGCGGCACAGGCGGTCGGTTGCCCAATGAGTGGGTGTCGTGTCACCCCGTGGAACGACACGCTCTATCGGGGAAGTTCTCAGGCGCCGGCGGACTCAGGTGCGATGGTGTCACCGGCGCAACTGTGCGTGTCGTCACTGACCTAGAGGCGAAGCCGGCGCGGCGTGGGTGTCCTCCAAACGGCGCCCGCTACCAACGGGCCTTATCTGAGCAGCTCTCACGGTCGGAGCATCGGCACACGAGGCACGCGCCCGCAGTTGAGACACCGGAGCAGCGCCGCGGCGCTGGCAACTGCTAATTAGCAAACAGCGCTCCGACGCCGCTCACCGGCCATTATCGTCACGTGACCGGCGCACGGCGCACACCACTGCCTGACGCCCAGTCACGTGATGATCGCCGCCTGTCGATCAGAACACTCGCAGCTGGGCTGGAGCGGCGAGCGAGCAGTCGGTGTTGCAAGGCGCCGCCGCCTGCAACACTGGAATACAATTAGCCGGTGAATGAATTCGGGTCGGCGATGTGTCGATAACGCTGGCGGTATTCTGTCGACAAAAAGCGGCACCGGTGTCCGCTGACGGCTGGCTTCTGTGACCGGCGTGTGGTCCGGACTGGTCAGTGGCCGGCGGCTCCAATGGACCGGCAGTTCGACTGGCTGGCTCCGCCCGGGGGTCGGAATTGGAAGGGTACTGGATTGCTGTTGGTGTAGGTAGATGGTATGATATGGAAGGGACTCGTGGGACGTTTATAGTGGTGTTGGATCGATTCGTCACCAAAATCCTGGGTCTGCCAAGAATTGGGTAGCAAAGTTTGACCGACCTGACCTGTCATGATTTTCTTCTTGGTATTATGTAGAGCTTATACTGTTGACCGGAGACTCCATCCATGTATCATCTGGCGCTGTGTCGGACACGCCATCGTTCCTTTCCGCCCGGTGTCTCGGTCTCGGTCCGACCTGGCCACCTCTGCGGTGGCTCCGGCCGGGTGACCTGGCAGCAGAGGCAGCGCGGTGGCGGCCGGAGCGCCGCTTATCGCGCTTCTGCTGACCTGGATTCCCGGATCATTAGCCGGACCGGGCGGCGGCGGCGACGGAGCGACCGGCGGCGCGCCGACCGACCCGACGTCACTGATCTGTTCCGATCACTGACTGACGAGCGGCGCTGGCTGATCGGTGACGGAAGATTGGTGACGGCTGGCGCGATGGAGGACGCTGGGGTGTCTGTTTGACCCTTTTTCGAAGAATGTATGCAGTTATCAGTGTTGTGAGTGCATTGTTTCGAGATTGATGAAGTGAAATCGGTGGCAACTTGTAACTTGTTTGCAGTTATCTCTTGAACAGTTTGTCTCAATTTCAATCATCCTGTCCGACTGTCAACGAGCTTGCAGCGGACCGCCTCAGTTGCATGATCCGTTCCGATCGATCGTCGGCCGAATCAGCTGTGATTGATGGTCGTCTCCGCTCCGAGTCGGCGCTCGGTTGGCTGACCACGGCCCGATAACGACTGTCTCGACGGGCCGTCAATGGAGACAGATGCCACCCATGGCACATGCAACGCGGGCGGTCTCCGATAGGCTAAACCGGCAGTCGACTCCCGATTGTCATCTAGTAAATAGCCTTAACTAGCCGCTGTTTTATCTGAGAGAATAATCCCTCGTTAGTAAAAGGTTCAGTCTTTCTTATGGCTTGCGGAGTATTCACGGAACAGTGTTCCGCTTCTTTCTTGAACTCCACCTTTGACAATCGCGTGTGTTGAACCATTCTGCCGGTCGGTCGGTGGCCGGTGGCGGTGGCCTGGGGTGGTGGTCAATGACTCGACAGTGGGCCACCACCGCCACCGGTGCCGCCCGCCGCTTCGGCCACCAGCGCCGCGGCTGCTCACTACTGCCGCTACCTACCTACATCGATACCTGTTCACTTGCTGGTCTTTGACTACCGCTTTCCCTCTATCTTTTTCGCTCCTTTACATCTCGTTCTGTCTTATCCTGCTCGCCTCAGACAAGACCTACTCCTGAGGCCAGGGCAGTTCGGAGTCGCACTAGCACATTATAACGGTCACAGCACGTCCCCTAATAACACAGGGCCGTACATTTGACACGGACAAACAGACTGCGCTTTGCAGTCCGACCCAGCGAGCGAGAGTGATTGGACGCATTCCGACAGGGCAATAGAGGAAAGGAAGGACCGACAAACGGACGGGTGAAACGATAAACGAACTGATGGACAGATGGAAGAATGAGCGAATGGCCTAACGGACGGACGGACGGACGGAGCCGGGGAACGAGTGCCGCCTGGCTGGCGGGCGTGGCTGTTTCACCGGCCGCGTGATGCCCTGGTTGCCACCGGCCGTCGGTCGACCGTCAGCAGGGTCGCGCCAGGGCCGCTCGCCGGTCCTGCAAGGCTGCAGTGCGGCGCGGCGACCCTGGCTGCTGCAGTGAGGCCGCCAGGCGCCCGGCGGCCGCTCCATGGAGCCCCAGCGCTGTCCAACGCGCCGTGTGAGCCGCTTTTCCGCATACCGGGAGGACCCGTTTGGGGACGCCGCGCCGGTGACCGGTCGCGCTGCCGAGGCTCAGCTGCACGCAAGCTGGTCACTGAGCTGTGCATGACAGAACGGCTGAGCCTGTCCGATGGTGGCTGACAGACGCTGACAGTCAGACTGACAGACTGACAGTCGACACAGTCGACAGTCGGCAGTGACAGTGGAAGATGGTTGGATGATTGACGAACGCTCCGACCCCCGGGTCGCTCATCTCGCTGTGGCCGCCGCGTCGCCCGGTCGAGCGTGTGACACTGGTCCGCCTCCGCGGCGGCGGCGCGTCGCCGGGCACCGGGTCACGAGAACAGTTAGGCGCGGCCGGCGCTGGCAGGGCGCCACTGAACACCAGACGGCCGCGGCGGCTGCGGCCGCTCGGCTGCGGTGGTGGTCGAGACTCCGTAGCGCCATGAGAGTCAGGGCCGCTTGGCTGGCCGCGGCGATGGAAACGATGGCAGCAGTATTGATAGCTACGGTCTGCTGGTCCGTCGGTTGTGAGCCCGGCGAGCCGTGCCTAGCGATGAGATGAGATGCTTCCCGTCGGCGACTGCAACGCTGAGTGATCGCAAACACCGCGCGGAGACGCCGCGGTGCGGGAGACTGCAGCAGCGCACAGCAGGCTAACACCGGTGTTATTGTCCAGTCGCCAGACGCAGTCTCCCAGAACACGGGAATGCAATCGGGCGGCCGAGTCGCGGCCGGCGCGTATTCTGAGAACGTACCGGACCTGCCTCCTGTAAACAGGCAGGCATTTGATGCCTGGCTCACTGTAACATTCTGTGAACTCAGCGAAACCTATGACGTCATCTATCAGGCGCTGTTTAGTATGTATTACTTGTTGACTTCTTTGAACGGTTGAAAGTTTGCATTGTGCTGACGGTGTTGGTTCTGTGTGATTTCAGGTGCAGCGACTGGCCCAGTATGAGCGCTACTTCCAGGACCTGCTGTCGGAGACGCCGCCCGATCACCCGGACGTGGACGACCTCACGCGGGTCAGAGGGAAGGTTAAACAGGTGAGTGTGACCGACCCGGTCGCCAGCGGCCGGCATCCGGCCAGAACCGGCACGGCCGCTCAGTGCCGAGCTCGCAGCCCGTCCATTGGCATTCATGACATTGCAGCGCGTGTGTCGTTCTACGAGCGATGCAGGCGGGACCGGATTGCAGTCGGCTCTACAGGTCAGCTGACCATACCGAGACACTAATCGATGCCGCGGCGGAAACGGCGCCGACGCGCCGCGAATGTATTATTGCGCAGCTCGAGGTCGGTGAAGGTGACGGCACCGAGTGTATGCCGCTGCAGGCTAGGCTGCAGTCAGGGAAGGCGTGACAGGATGGGCTGTTTATGGTCCTGGCCGGCGGGAATGCTGTGCCGTTCGCTGGAGGTCGTTTGTCCGCTGGCAACTGTCGACAGCTGTCGGTATTAGCGACAATTGCTGCCAGGTGGTGGCTGCCACATAGGCAAACAGCGCGTAACACGATCCGCCACCGGCGGATCAAATTAGTCGGCGATTCACGGCCGGTTAGCGTGTTTGAATCGCGCAGTGATTTCGACATTCCATCGCCGATGGATTATAGACTGACTGGTTGGATTGGCGGCGATGACCGTGGAGTCGTTGGACCTCGGGTACAGGCTTAAATTCAGCGGTCTCTGTGCCCCTGCCTGTGTGGGATCCGATGGGCAGTGATCCCAGGATCACTCTGCAGGCATTCTCCAGATTCCAGATTGCCACATTGGATGACAATTATCTGACCCCAGTGTCATCTGTTTGAGGCAGTCGCTGGTCCCCAGTTTAGCCCGATGGATGGCGGTCATCTGTCCCCAGTTCCATCCGTTGGAGGTAGTCCCATGTGAGGCCCAGTAGAGGAGGCTCCAGCGGAGACTGACCACCAACCGGAGGTGGATGGGAGGCGCCGCGCCGCCGGCCACCGACCGACCTCAATCGCAATCGTGTCTGACAGCCTGCCCCGCCCGGCCGGCCGCCTGAGAGAGGCGGGCCGGCGCCGCGTGGAGTCTCGCCGCCTCAGTCAGTGTTCCAGTCAGGAGTCCAACTCAGGCGCAGCTCCGCACTGGAATGGCTGTATTTGGACGGAACCAGTTCGGGAACAATCTAGCAGACTGGCTGGACATTTCCATGGCACTGCGTCGCCTGTCCCGCACGCCGACAGTTGCATGCCAGCATGACCTGCGCGGTGCATTGCGTCATTGTACGGCCGACTGCGGCGGCGGCGACGGGCCGAGTCGGCCCCGGCTGTCTGTCTGTCTGTCGGCGGCGAGCGGCCCGGTCCGGCCCTGCCCCGACCCGCCCGGCGCGGCGCAGGTCAGGGCCGTGCCGGTCGCCGCCCGGCGTCCTCGGTAGGCCAATGCCCGGCTGGCGTTACTGAGCACCGTCTGGCGAGTTATCGACTCCAGCGCTGGCGGTGATCGGGACAGACCGACAGCCGGTGCCAATCAGCTGCCTCAACAGCGTGACCGATGGCGGCTGGTGCGGCGCTGTGGCGTGGCGACGAAAGGCTTTCTGGGAATGTCTTGGGTAACAGGAGCAACTGTTTACGGCCGAAATTACAGCAATTTTAAACAGAATTGAAATGTGTTAAGCATTGCCCGTGAACTAATGAAACTAGATACGGTCTTCGCTGTGCAGCCACCCTGCAGCAATGTTCCGCCCTGCTGTCTGACTTCCCGCCGCCCATCGCCCCCCGCCCTCCGCCGCCCACCGTCGCTGCGTGACCCGGGTCCCGGGTCGGCCCGTTTCCGGCGCCTCTGTGAGAGCGCCGTCCTTCAGCAGGTGTGCAGCGGCCGGGCCAGGGCCGCCTGTCAGTGCAGCGTCTGCCGGCCAGGGGCGACTGTCAGGGGCGCCAGCCTGGCCCGCCGTCTCACAGACGTCACGCGCGCACGCAACGCCTTTTTTCCGACTAGCGGGGCTTTGGCGAATAGATGAATCAATGGCGGTTGTTTGCGTCAGACGGAATGGAAATCAGTGGCGTGCCTGAGCGCGGAATGAAAGCGGCTCGCGAACCGACCTTCTCGACTGACGAGACGGCATCGTAATGTATTCAGAGCTTACAATGTGGGGAGAGCTCTTTCCTGGACCGGAAATGCACGTCGGTGCCTATAGGCTTAGAATCGGCAGGTGTTTAATGAGGTGCTAATTCACTCAGCTTGTTGCATCCAAGTCTTACACGACCTCAGTCAGTTCAGATCCGTACAGTGATTGTCCCAGATGACCCGTGAACGTTAAATGCTACAAACCTGTTGAACGACTTTGTCCGGCTTGTCGTCTTGTTCAGTCAATTTGCAAAGCCTGTGTTATTGCCGTGTTAGGAAGTTACTCAGTTCCATAGCTGCTGGCTCATTCATTCTTCAGTGGCAAACATTTTTAGCGAAAGGGTCATAAAATGCGCGGCGACCGCAGCGAGTCTTCTGTGGCACCTGACTTGTTTACCTTGAAGACCTCCGTCGAGCCGAGCCCAGTCGAGCCGGGTCGGCCGAACCGCCTCGGCGTTCAGCGAAGCCGTCGGCCGCCGTAAGGCTCAAATTTCCACCAGTGAGGCCGCGCGCTGCGCCGTACGGCCGGTGAGTCAGTGTCGGGCGGCGGACTTATACGGCGCTGGGCTGAGGAGATGACGTAGGGCGCCGCGCTGGGGCGGCCGGCGCAGGAGGTGATGGCGGATGGCATCGGCACAGTCACCGCCGGCCCACAGACGAAGCGGTGTCGCACTGCATGGCGGCTGCACCGTGTCGCGCGTGCGTTTACAGTGGTGTCACACGAAACAAACGCAGCTCTGGACCAGCTGTGACACGCGCGTGATCGGTGTGTGACCCTGCGTGACCTGTGCGTGACCTATACGTGACCTAAGCGTGACCTTCGGCGAGTGATCGTGAGCCAGTGAGCTAGCCGCGCGCTGCAGTGAGCGAATGGAGTGAGGTTATCGCTGGTAATGCCGCCGAGCACCCTGTGATGGCCATCTTCTACTTGCAGTTGGTCGCGTCGCCCGGAGGGGACCTCTCAGAGCTAGACCGCATCCAAGATCTGTTCCCCAGCGACAGCCTGGGACTGCACGGCAAGGATCCGTCCTACCCGGTGAGTACCGCTATCGACGTTTTTGACGATACCCGTCGTGTATTCGTGCCATCCTGCCTGTTCTCGCCAGTGTGAGTTATGCATATGGTGTGATGTGGTTTGTTCTGATGTAGATTCGTGGGCGCGGTGGCGGTGCGGGAGGCTATGCCGTCACGGTTCCTTTGCCGCGACGCGCCCGTTGCGGGACAGGGATTGTGTGGGACACGTGCGTTTGATTCGGTCAGTGTGTGCGCGCCACAGTAGCCGCTGCCAGGGTAATGTGACCGCCGGTTCTCAGCGACTGACCGTTGTGAAACGGACGGGCGTGGCCGCCGCGCCGGCCGCCGTGTGGTGCTGTGGTCAGCGGGACCGCACCGCCGCCGCGCGGTCCGCCGGACTGCCGCCGGGCGGTAGCGGCCCCGCCCTGTCCCATGTCCCTGGGTTCGGTTACTTTTTACGGCGACTACCACACCCTCCACGCGTGGCTAAGCCTGTCCTTCAGCAAATTAGATAGAAGCGTAATGAACACAGCTTACTCAGATCTGAACACAAACAACCATATTTATGTATACCTACAGGCTCACCTCAATTCGTCCTTGTGTGTCCGTGAAACATACCATAACGCTGCCACAATGAATCAGCCTTACAATTGCAGCTGTTCCCCGCCCCCTCTCCCAACACCCAGCCCTTCCCTCGCTCGCCCCGCCTTGCCGCAGCCACTCTATGTCAACACAGAAGCGCACATTGTTTTGACAAACGTGCGTAAAAACGCTGCCGCTGCCACCACAAAGGGTGCCGGTGGCCGCAGTAGAGCTCGGCCGGGGTCCAGATCTAGAGCGTGTCGCTCGTCTCCCTATCGCTCGGTTTGCCGGCTGCCCTTGGTCGGTGCATGAATGAGCGAACACTTGGGGGGGGGGGGGTGACATTCACCCCAAAGGATGGATGTGGGGTTGAGGTGCTCAGGAAGGGGGTACGAGGAAGGGAGATAGTAAGGAGTGACCCCTCCCCCCCCCCCACCAAATGCATGGTGCTATGTTTGGCTCTCTGGGTTGAAATTTTGTTATTCATGGTAGGGAAGGAAGAGAAAGAGTGTAAGAGGGAGAGAGAGTCTGCCGGCAGCAGGTCGACGCCTTTCCCATGGTCATCGCGCTGGGAACGTCGCTCTGTGGCCATTCTTATAAAGAAAAGAACGGAGGGACGCTCCGTCATTTCTGAGATTAGACGGAATTTGGTTATCATAAAAGGACGAAGACGAAAGACGGAACCTGTTAAAAGAACGAAGCCAGATTGACGCTACCCCCACCCAAAAGGACGCGTTTCCGTATCATAAAGAGACAAAGACACCTCTGGTGACGTAAGACTTTGCGTTATTCGTGAAAAATAACGCATCAGAAAAAGCGCTGCTCCTCAGCAGCGCTTTTTTACGGCATTGATACGATATTTAGCTGGTTGCGAGAGCAACTTGTGCGAAATGTGTTTCAGGCTGCATGCTAATCGATATGTGAACTGTATGACATTGGTCGGGAGTTATTTCGCACGAAAATTAGTCAATTTGACATGCAGACCAAGAACCTATAGACCGCCACCTTATCGTTCTGCAGCTATCGTTGTTTATCTGGCATACACATTAACAGGCAGGATTGGACACCTTGAGATGCAATATCCAGTAAGTGGTAGGTGTTTACTGTTTGCAACTGCCTCCCAGTAGCTCCACCCTCACCTGGCCTGTGTCCTCTGGCGCCTCGACTGGTATCACGGTTGGAGGGTGAGTCACGTGGCACTACAACTTCTCGTTAGCACTTAAAGTTCTTGTTTGCACGCAGAGAAATTCGTATACACTCCGCCAGGCTCAAGCGCTCTCGCTGGACTGTCCTCGCTGTCCCCACACAGAGAAGATCCACAGGCCATTTCTTCCCCCGCTCCCCCTCCCCCTCTTTAGCGTCAGTTCGTCAAAACAACACCTGCGCCCCCCGTCTCTCTCTCTACCTACTCCTTCCCTCTCTCCCTCCCTTTCATCCCGAGCCGCCGCGCGCGTTCGCCGCGCGCCGCGTCGTCCCCTAGACTGCCGAGCGATAAGATGCCGTATCAGTATCCCCTCCTCTTTTATCTCTACCGCCTGTCCCACTCCCGAGCCGCCACGCTAACTCAGGGTGTCTGCGTTGTTCCCTTACCGCTTATTAGACACCTATCACTGAGTAAGACATAGGCATTACCACATTTATACGCAAAAACAATCTTTGATGGGTTTCAGCCTAGCAGGAAAGACTACAACATATTACATACTTCGCCTATCTATATTATCTTTGATCGTAGCCAAGGCTATGTATCGTAGCAGACAACAGCCCCAGTCCCATAAAAAATTCAAATATGATCCCAAATAATTGCAGGCTCTCATTTTATTATACCTATGTAGCGATCACACAGTATTTTCTTAGTCTTATTGCATTCTTTGTGACGAAATTTATAAGAAAATATTGCAGGAAATAATTCCTGTTTCATTTACTAAAGCTCTTGATCATTTAGACGAAAAACGTATCCTAGCAAAATAACGAAGGGGGAGGGGTAGAGGGACGGAACCTTTATGATAACCAATAAGGACGGAATCGTTTAATTCATTGAGTTCTTTTTTTCCTTCCGTCCCTCCGTCCTTTTTCTTTATAAGAATGGCCTCTGGGGTAAACGACTTCTTCGTGCTTTCTTTTTTATTTTGAGTGGTCAGCTCGCCGCCGTTTTTTTTTTACCACCGCTTTCGCCGATGACGTCAAAGCGCACGCCAGACCACGGTAGGGGCCGGTGAGACAGAGCTGGCTGATTGATCTGGCTGGTAATGGGATTATCGCTGGGCGTGTGGACCGCACCGGCTCCCGTCCTGCCTCCACGTTCAGGCCGGGTGTTTGGCGCAGCTCAGTAGCTGACCGGTGATGGAGGGCCGGACACAGCCGACACGGGGATCGGCGGGGGCGGGACGGTGCCGGGCACCGCACAGGGGCGTATCTCCGGCCCATCGGCCGGCGGGAGATGTCTCACTCGGTCCCATTCATTCGGGGTCGGCCCGGGGCGGGCGGTGCGACGCAAACACCCGGGGGATCAGCCGGCGGCCGGCGGCGGCGCCTGAATCACGGCGCCGCCCCCGCCCCCGCCCCCGCCCCCGCCCCCGGTTTCCGGTCGTGGCGGCGGCTGCACGAGCTGCACGGAGCGCTGTCAAAACTCGGCGCCGTGACTCACGGAGCAGTCTGTCAGCTGGCGGTGGGCGGGGAAAGGGAGGGAGCGGTGAGTCGATGGGAGTTCGGTGAGACTGCTGTGCGCTCCGCCGCGCCGTGATCTGGGCTGGCTACTGGCCTACCCGTGATGTGGGTCGAAACGGGACGCTGTGGACCGGTTATTGTCACCGCTCGGTTGGGAGGGAGAGAGGCTTTGACACCTGTCTGGCCGAGGTAGTCGGGATAAAGGGGTCGACTGGACAGGTGGAGCCGATAACACTCACACGCCAACCCTCCCTGTCTGCGCCTCATAGGAGACCCTTCCCGGAATATCCCCGTCCCAGCGGGGTTTCCAGCCACCTGTCGTCGCATTAATGATTGACGGTTGACTTCGTCACTCTTCTGGAATCTAACTATACCTCTCCCGTGTTTTAGCGCATGAAAACGTTGATGCGGAAGCGTTCCGCACCTGCTACCCGACTTCAGAGAGCTCTGTCGGCCAAGTCGCTGAGGCCGGCATCGTCTGAGCGCGCAGCGGAGGATAGCAGCGGAGGAGGTGGCGACACGATGCCCCCGCCGGCCGCCGACACCCCCGATGGTCCGCCCGTGAAACGCCAGTTCGTCATGGAGACGCCCGTCCAGTTCACCGTGGTAAGTACCGGGAGTTTGGTGACGAATGAAGCACGGTGGTGTGGGGGGGGGCTAGGGCTGGGTAGTTCCGGTGACATTTAGAAACTGCGTGATGCCGCCGTGTAAACAGTACGTGAGCGGGAAAATCGTTCCACGGATGCACGTGCCAGTCGGCTCGGCTCCTGTGACCGGCTGCGTGACCGTCCCTCGCCGGCCTGCCACCGGACGCGGCGTTTGTGGCGCGCGGCACGTACCCGCACGCCGTCCAGCCGGATCAGGTGCGCCGTTTTTGTCACAGTGCGCGCTACCGACCCGCTGACGGAGCTGGTCGCGCTGTTGTGAGACCTGGACTGTCCCAAACTTCGTCGCCACTGAGTGCCTTCTATATCACCAGTAAAACGCCTTTTGGGCGAAGAACGAGCGAGCGAGATAGTGAGCCCTGCACGTGCGGAAGGGCGAGAGGGTACTTCCAACGGACTTGTGCAAAGCACCCTTATAACCGGTCGCTAGCGGTGTGCCAAATTTGAACGCAATCGGCCCAGACGTTCCTGAGATCTGGAAGCGGCATTCTGCACGTGCGCACGTGCAAACGGGGTCCAAAATGACTTTCGCACGGCACCCTACTAGCCGGTCCCCAACCGTGTACCAAATTTGAGCGCAATCGGCCCAACCGTTCTCGAGATCTGGAAACGCCCCCTGCACGTGCGCACGTGCAGTAGCACCCTAACCGCAACACATGGGAATGCATTGCCTGGTGGGTGCCTACCTGTATGCCAAGTTTCAGCGAAATCGCCCCAGTAATTACAGAGTTACTGAAATGGGAACAAATTTGGCACCTCTTCTTTTTGTATTTTGCACGTGCAGTGGGGGTCACTCACATAGATCAAGAGTATCCGACCTTTGGTAGAAGGGATGCAGCTATCCTACAAAAATTACCGCAAGACAATAGCCCAAGCGGCTGCTGAGATATGAGCCTCTCAAAATCACTACTTTTGCAAAACAGCTTGAACACCCCTGGCTTTTCACGTGGCACGTGCCACGACGGTCACTGAGATGTATCAAAAGTAGTCAATTACGGGGTAGAAGGGATGAGGCTACCCAGCAAAAAAGACCGCAGGCCAATCGGTCCGGCGGTTGCTGAGATATAAGCCTCTCAAAAGCGTTACAGGCCGGGCCGGGCCGGGCCGGGCCGGGCCGGGCCGGGCCGGGCCGGGCCGGGCCGCTCATACTGAGATTTTTCCGTTATATTGAAAAGACTTCGCTTCGCTCGCTGCGCTCGCTCGCTCGTAATTAGTCATGAATCTAAGCCGAGCTGGTCAAAGTTTCTTCCTAAAACGGCATCAAATCTCCCCACGTCTCTCAATAGCTCGATGTCGCGTCTCCGATAGGTCGATCGGTTTTCCCGACTCGCTCGCCGCGTCTCCTGGGCTAGACAGGCCGTCAGACGCCAGTCTGGGTTCTCCAGCGTCATCGGTGACTGTTGGTGGACGCGATAAATGGAGCGTTCAGCGCCGCCACTGGCTCAATGACAGCGCTGACACACTTCACAGTTCACACCGCCGGTAAAACAGCCACCGTCGCCGGCGGCGCTGGTCGGCCGGCCAGACTGGACCCGTGCTTTCACCGACCGGCCGTCGGTGACCTTCGTCTCGATTGTCGCGTGAATGGCCGCCAAATGTGGAATAATTTGTCGCCCAGGTGCCGCTGGAGTAAGCGGGCTTTGTTAGCGACCATCTATACTGCAGATCGGGTCCATCTATAGTGATTGAGTTCTTGGTGTTCTGTTATCAACGGTTGATAACACATATTCCCGTAGCGAAAGCTAGTTTCTCGAGAGCTGTCGCTGATAGTGCTGGTCGTACCCCTTGAACTCGGTGACACAACGCGACCACCGCCCGTCGACCGACGCGCCGTCCCAGTTCGTCGCTCACGGCCGGCCGGCCGTCGCCGTGTTGTGACGGCGTAAACCGATGGTGACCGCCCCCGATGCGCCGCCGCGCGGACCGCCGCGCCGTCGACATGCCGTTTTTGTCGGTGTACCTGCTCAGCGCCGGCGACCGGTGTTTCAGGGCGCCGGCACCCGTAAAAACCCGACCGGCTCGTGCAGTCGCGGCTCCTCAGACGGTGGGCCGCACCGCGCTGCTTTGGAGCGCCGTCTGGGCAGCCCCTACTCCCACCCTGAGCGACGAGGCTTGAACCGTCGGGAGTTCAGCCCAGTTCCTGTCGGCCCTCGGGTCGCGTGGTGACGATTGTGGCGGCGAGGTCACAGGATGTTACGAAACAGATGTCGCGGGGTCTCGGGATCAACCTCTGTCGGATGTTACAGAACACAAACGGCTACAGACATGCAAAGGTTACAAGGCACACGCCACGGGCCGGGCAGTTAACCCACTGATCCAACCTCTGCCTTCACCGACCTGGGGTTAGAAATAAGAATGACGTGCATGTTCCGACCATATATACCTACGACAATCGACGTCATCGCGTTGTGACAAAACCCTACTGAATGGCGCCCGAATGACGGCAGTTGACACGGGCGCCTCTGAGGCACGGGTGGATCCCAAACCGGGTGCCAGGGCTCTCTCAGGGGACAAGAGGTGGACTTGTCTGCCGAAACCCATCCATCAGCGCGACTGTGTGCCGGCGGAGAGGATCGGATCTGGGCGTTTCCCTGGCTGCACCGCCGCCGCCGGGACACCTAAAAAGACGGCTTTGTCGGCCGGCCGAGCCGCGGCTGTGATGTATGCGGCGCGGTGACGGCGTCGCCTGTCGTGTTCTCGTCAGTGCCCGGTATTGTTCACTCGAGGCGCCCGACCGGGAAGGTTCAACGGCCGTTTTGACTCGCGGCGCTCGAGTTTGACTCACGGCGCGCGCGACTGACTCACGGCTGGAGAGGAAGAAAGAAAGAATCACTAGCGGAGTCAGTGAATCAGAGGAGCAGTTTCGCCGCCGCAGATGATTCGTGGAGCTGTTATACACATAACCACGTCCTCACTTCAGCGATGGTTTAGCTGGGCGTTCTGACCAGCCCGAGGCGGCTTGGTCGGCCGGCATACCAGGCGGCCCATAAACTCTGCCGGACGCACTTCGGGGAACCTCTACGGCCAATCGAGCGTGACGCACTGGGCTGCCGGAGGGCCGCCCAGGTATGCGGCCTCTGACACCGGACACCTGCCGTCTGACACGCGACACCTGACACCGTCAGTGCGCGACCTGCGCCACGTACCATCAGGCTACGCATTGCTGTAGTGGAGGGCCGGCGCTGCTCCTATCCGCTCTGCTCCGCTGCCGTTGGTCAGTAAACTCTCGGAGAGTTTGAGAGGTTCGGCGGACCCGGGCTGGCGCCTGGCTCTGGCCGAGATGGCCGCTGCTGATAGTGCCGGCGGCGGCTCGGCCGCGTGTGGGTTCGACGGACGGATCCGGCCGGCCGGCGCCGCCGCCCAGCCTCCTCTCCCAGCCCGCCCGCATCTCTGAACTCGGGCCGCACCCATGGGTGTCCCTGGATTGCTTAGTCAACCTCCTTCGCGATTCCGCCTCAGCTCCCGGATATAAGATGTTGCCAAACTGCATGCAGGTGTATCATTGTCGGCGGGATTCTTTGTTAATTGATGCCTCAATTGTGGAACGCGGTAAGTGGAAACTCGTGTCCAGGTTCCGAGCAGTCTGGCAGGTATTACGGTATCAATATTAATTAATACATACAATGAAGACCGCTGATTATCAACATTGCGGCAAAGTTACAGCTTCCTTCCTGGGTAAATCCGGTGAGCCATCCCGACAACACCCACTGTCGTCACGTTGAGGTCCCGGCCGATTCGACGAGCCGAGCCAGCCGGTCGGGCTCGGCTCGTCACGGTGCGTTCGAGCCAGGCCGCGCGGGCGCTGTCGAGTTCATTGACTGGGTCCTCTGCCATGCTAATTTACCGCCCAACGAAGATTGATGATCCCTAGGCCCGCCGGCGACTATGCGCGACACCCACCGGCGCATGCGCAGTGGCTGGGAGCGTTCTCTTCGGCGATCACAGAGCGTAGGTATATCCTGTGTCGGCTGACCGTTGGTAACCTGAGCCTCCGCCGGCATACCGAATCTACCGAATTCATACGCCAGTTCACGTCTGGGCTGTCTTGTACCTGACGCGACTCGGCGGTGGTCGGAGCTGGCGGGCGTCGTCTGGACGCCGCGTCTGCCCACGTGCGGCTCGGGGAGGACCGGGCCCGGCCACAAGGCGATAGGTGACGGGACGCCGATGGAGCCAAGCCCTGGCGCCCATCCTCCGCATACCGATGGGCGGCCGCGGCCCCGGCCGATGCCGTCGGAGACCATAGGGTGTGCGCAGGTGTCTTCTTATGTGTTCTGGCTGTATTCTGATGCGCTCGCCTCCTCCGATTCTTTTATCGTCAGCAAGTTAATATCGCAGGTGTTCTATGTCCCTTTTCTGGTGGATCGGTTTGCTTTGTCATTCGACGATTCACCGTTTGTCGCCAGTGATATTCCTGTCGCGACGCTAACCAAGCCAACAATTCAGCCAGAATCGGAGACAGAGACCGCTGAGTAGGATTACAGGGAGACGGCTGTCAGAATGCCACCACCGTCTTCGTCTCGTGTTTCTAATGTAGCGGAAAGCTCTCACGTTCTGCCGCTACTTCTTTTAAAGTTCACATTAAGTCGCCTCTGCATGTCTCATTATCGTCTGTCCTGTGCAGGTTTTTGTTAATTACCGCGTAGGATTTGCTTTGTTCCAGGAATAACCGTCAGGATTCTTGGGAAACCTTATTTTTCCGCGGTGCAAATTGAATGATGACTGTAAAGCCGCAAAGTGGCCACCTTTCGGAGTGAGCCACTGCGCCGGCTGTGCTCCAGACCGCCGGCCGGCCGGTGGCCCGTTCGGCGATCGCCGCCTGGCGGGGCGCATCTTATTCTGCGCCGCCGCTCCGCCGGGTGTGCCGACAAAAACCCCTCCTTCATATGAAACCGGCCCTCTGTCTGCCGAGAAAAAGGCGGCCCATGTAAAAAACGGCCGCTCCATTCGCCGGCGCAAGGTCAAGAGTTCAGAGCGCGTGGAGCGCGCGGCGGCCGGCGGCTGAGCTCCCCTGCCGCCGCCGTCCTCTCCTCCGTAGAACCCACTATAGCTCCTACAGCTGCTCGCTGCAGCTGGCGGGCGGTGCCCCGAGACAGCGCCCGCGTGCAGCCGCGCCTGCAGCCAGGGGACTGCGCGGCAGCCCCTACCGCACCCCGACGTGACGTGCAGATCTTCCAGCGGCCAGCTGCAATGAATCGGCTCAATGTGCCGCCGATGGAATGCGACCCTGCGCCGTGCCGTGCAGGTGCACCCTGATGGGTGGGGCTTGGTGACTGCTGAGCTCGGCGGCTTCCGAGCTCGGTTGGTGTAGTTTTTAACAGTTTGAGTCGTTCACATCGGCACACCGTCGCTTTTAATAGTTTGAGTCAATCTGGCGATGCAGATAATAACGTTTCGTTTCATGATTCGTGGCTGTTTGATGGAGACGGCACCGATACGGATGTCGTTTTTTATGCTGGGAAATCGACTCCTGCTACTGAACTGCCTGAATAAGAAGCCATCTCTCAGACCCTATGAGGACCCATCGGAGACCCGCCGCGCTGGTCCGGAGTGGCTCTAGAGGCCTCGTGGAGGCCGACAGGAAACTCCGGGTACCCCGCACTCGGCCAGCCCCGGCGCGGCGCGACGGTCCTTTTTCGGCGAGCGATGTCGTGTCGGCGTCGGTTGGCGTCACAGTGTGATTAAGGGGCTCCTTGGAGCCGAGCTGGCGGACTACGGAGGCCAGTGGCCCCATACTCCTGCCCCGGTCGGTAGAGGGAGGGAATGAGCCACACCAGCTGTCCTTCTTTGCCTTGAAAAATTAATTCCGCACCGATTTGCACCCTTCTATAATAATTTTGCATTTTTAGGTGCATTATTTGTCACAGGTCGCTTGTCCTAAATATAAATTTCGTTACTGTGAAAGGAAGAGTAACCGACCTAATCAAGCAGATATTTTTTATACAAATGGCGTACCGCAGCTGGTCTGTGAAACAGCAAATCTCCGCTCGCGTGGCTGGCTGAGCACGGCACCGGCCTGGGTGGCGCCGTTGACCGGGGGGCGTGACTCGTGTCAGCGGGACTGTAACTTATCCCGCCCGCAGCGGTCGGTATTCTGCACAGTACCGGCATACCTACAACATGCCAGCGCTGGGCACGGCCTGGGGGTCGCTGGTATCTGAGCAGGGCTGCGGCCAGCCGGTCAGATGGAAACATGAAATGTGTGGCACAGGCTGAGGTGGAACGTCAGCAGTCGACCTGAGCTATCTGAGATGAACAGACGGGCAGCGCTGGGCCATTGAAAACAGAATCAGGGGTGTAGGTGGTTTGAACCGAACCCTCCCTTTGCGGTGGTGAATGGAAAGGGGAATGCAGCCACACAATGCATGACCGGCCGCGGCCTCCACAGAGACAATAGCCACTGCTGATGCCGGCCGTTGTTAGTGCCTCTGTGTTTAGGCCGTGTTGCCTCATCAGAAGTCGGTTCAGCGATTCTAGTCGACGCTTGTCCGGCAGACAAAAGGCGTGATCCGGTCCTGCAGGAATGTGTTTATAACCGGGCGGGGCTTTACGTCAGTTGAGTCGGGTTTACGTCAGTGGTGTCAGCCGCGGCGGGGATTGCACGCCTGCGCGCTGTTTGCCGCTCCGCGCTGTCCGCCTTGTCGACCCGGCCGTGCCGAGGCCGCGGAGTCGGACTCCCGCCGCTGCAGAAATGTGTTGTTTACCCCCCGGCCGGGCCGGCGAGGTGTCGGCGTCACTCACACACGCGCTCCTCTCCCCGACAGGGTCTCCAGTCGCAGGACCGGCACCTGTTCCTCTTCACCGACATGCTGCTGGTGGCCAAGGCGCGCTCCGGCGGCAACTTCAAGCTGAAGGAGAAGGTGCGCCTGTCGGAGATGTGGCTGGCCGGCTGTTTGGACGAGGTCACTGAGGTCACGAAAGACCCGGCCACCTCGTTCGTCATGGGATGGCCCACTACCAATGTGGTGGCCACGTTCAGGTGAGTTGGGCTCGCGGGCCAAGTGCTGGGTGTTGCATGGACTATCACAATGAGTTTTTTTTTTGTTAAGCGTTCTGAAAAAAAAAATCTTTTGTTTCTAGACAAATTAGAATGTTCGTTTTTATAGCGTCTCTTTTTCCTCTTCCTTTGTCCACTTGTGTAATTCAATTCCTACATCTCCCCCGTGACATCGTGGATGAAGCTGAACCGTGATATAGCGGAGCTGCTCCGGCCATCGGGCGGCCCACTGAAGCCGTCTCCGCCCCCCCCCCCCCCCCCCCCAGCCGCTCGATGTCACGCTCGTTTCCAAATTGTCGGCTATGATGGGATGGAAAGCGTGTCGCCCGCTGTGGGACAGTTCCCATGGACCCAGACTCGGTGCCCCGGGCGAGATGTGGCCGCTGATGACGGTGGAAACTGGCGGAGCCAGTGCCTCGATTGTCTGGAACCGACGGAGTCTGTTCCTCGGACAGCGGGAACGGTTCTCCGTGTCCGCTCGGCACCGTCCCGCTGTCCGCTGTGTGTATCTCACTCGAAGGCCTTTATTCCCCGTTTGCCATCCTGTATACGCCCTTCTCGCTGTCCCGCTCTCCGTCCCATTCCGCCCTATCGCCGTCCAAATGTCACCTCTCCCTGTCGCCGGGTGGGCATGCTGTCTGTTGGCACGCGCTGTCCAGTTGTACCGGGACCTTCGTGACTGAGTGGCGACACTCGCTGCAGTCTCCTTTGTCCTCCTGTGATCGGTCCCGTGCCGGGGTGCCACCGAGCCCGTGCCCTGGTAAACACGAGACGGCGACTTTCCTGCCGTTGGAGAGTGGCGGACGTGACTACACCTTTTTTCAATCCGAATCGGCATCCGGTCAATTAGTTTCGGCAGATCTGCATTAGGAACGTCAGCCGGAGTGCGCTTTCGACAAACCACGCCTCAAACTCGGCATAGTGCAGCAGCGTGACATGGGGCATTTAATTTCGACACTGAGCGTGGTTTCGACACTGGCCAATGGATTTCGGCACACGGCATAGGTCTGTGACATGGGGCATTGGAAAAAGGCAAATTTCATTTTACAATGGCAATGGTCATTCAATTTCGTTGCCGTTATAACAAGCAAAATCAAGCAAATTTCATACCACATCTTGTATATTGATGTGTTTCCAATGCTTACCACTTGAATTTATGGCATTTTCCTTTTGTTAGACTTCCCTTGGATTAATGGAACACAAAATACGCCAAGACCGTGGTTTTAAGGTCTAAACGTTTTTTTTTCTGTGAATGGAGGGTGAGTAGGCTATGTAGCAAGCCATGTCAGAGTCGTGAGATGAGAGGATCATGCGGAGGAAGCATTTGGGTGAGTCTACCAGTGACCGGTTAGCTGCGGCGGCTGACAAGGCGCCGGTATAAAACTGTCTCGCTACGGATATGCAGCCAAAGCGATCGATGGGTCGGCCCGTAGGGTTTCCACCTTTCCAGAGGGCAGTTTTTTTTTTTGTCCAGAAATACAGTTGACCATGACTGACCACACCGCCGTCCTGCAAACATTGTTGCCGCTCTACGGTAACACGTCATTTCCATCTCGGCAGACCTGAGCCATCCGCGCTGGCGGTCAGCGCCACTCACAATGTGTCGACAGATCGACACAAATGAAAAAATCAATATTTTTGTTTTTCATGCAAGAAATACGGCTAAAACATTGTCAACTTTAGATGCGTTGAAAGGAGCGAGGCCCTGAATGACCCCCGGTCAACCTTTGGATTCGCCTGGAGCGTGGCCCCGAATGACCTTTTTTTTTAATTTTGCATCCCCGCTAGCACAAGGCTATAGCAGGGGAAGGGAAGTTACTTGCTGGCAATTAGCCCCGTCGCCCTTTGGATTCGCCAGTGCTTCCACATTGTCACAGAGTGACTCAAGGATGGTGACCTCGAATGAGGTCAGCTTGTGTGCCGGAAGCGGTTGATGTTAGGGAAGAACCGGTGTTCCAGAGCGACTGACGAAATTAGGTGCCCGTTGCCGTATTCGAATGAACGGTTGCCGATTCGGATTGAAAAAGGTGTGGTTACTTAGCAACCAAGCGCCCATATTGAGTGTCTCTTTACAGTACCGTGGAGCATTTTAACGCACATTCTTAAAATGCCTATCCGAAAAGATAAGAGTTGCTTAATTCACTGATGAGATAAATTGACCATTGTCTAGCTTGGCTGCAAGCTGCCGACGTAAAATGCAATATGACAAAACAGAATGCCCTTTGTCGATATTAAATGCCCCTGCCGTTGTTCATTGACCCTGGTCGAATATCAGCAGATGCTAGTCTAAATCCGTGAAACGTGTCGAAATACGTGCTCCAGTGTCGAGTTGTTTGAGTGCCTGTCGAGATAAGGTGCCCGCTGCCGTATTTGAATGAACGGATGCCGATTCGGATTGAAAAAAGGTGTATGTGAGCTCGGGGTCGACCTGCAGTAGAGAGAGGGGCGGCTGCAGTTCTCTGAAGGGCGGGGCGGGCGGTGTGAGAGAGGTCTGGGGTGCAGACTGCGGGCCGCCACCGCAGCTGCGCGGTCCGCCCCCGCCCCCGCCCCCGCCCCCCGCCAGCTGTTGCAGCGCTGCAGGAGAGCGGAGGGAGGGTGAGAGGGTCTGCCGTCGCCGCCACCGGTCTCGGTTAGAGGGAAGAGTGGAGAAGTTCGATTTATGATCGGATCCCTCCGCCGCGCCGGCGAATAACATCCAAACGTGTAATCATCGACCGTTTCAAGTACGCGCGCACCACACGCGGGCGGCCGGCAACGGCAGTTGACGGCGCACACGTAGCTGAGACCGACTCGTAAATAAAATTTCCAGATTGTATGGCCTGGAAAATGGTAAGCTAGCCACACGCACTTGGTCCGCCGTGTCGAGCTGGCGATGTTTAACAGGTAATGCCGGCCAGCGTGATTTATCGCTGGATATGATAGGCCCGGGATACGCGGCGCACAAGAGCCGGTATTATGTGAACCCACCCATCGGAAAAGCGCCGCCGGCCGGCCGACTGAACCTAGGTCAGGCGGCACAATGCGTCGTTCGTCAGTGCCGATAGCCGATCCGGCCTCCCGTTACAAGAGTTACGCGGCGATTCTCTGAGCTGTCCCGCCCGTGTTGTCGCCGGTGTCTGGGACACACGGTTTGCCCCGTTCAGCCCGGCTTCCGGCGTGCCAGGGGTGGGGGTGGCGGTTCGCACGGCGGTCTCGCCGCCGCCGCCGCAGGTCACGTAGGGTTCCCCGGGTCACACAGGTCACAGACGGGTCACGGCGCTGCGGTGACGCAACTGCGGCACCCACTCGTTGACACGGCCGCCCTCCGCCGCCGCCTGCTGCAGTCTGACAAACAAATCACAGGGCGATGAGAGACGCGAGGTCGCTCTGTACTCGCAGGCGTCTGCGGCTACAGGGCGCGACTGGAGAGACTCAACGAAAACAAAGCTACAGCCCCTTTTCAGTTTGGCCCAAATCATCGCACAGTGGGGGTGCTTTGGAATTCGAAAGGCGGAAGCTGGCGTTTTGCTGATGTCTGGGCCGCGATGGCGTGCTCTTCTGAGGACACTTGTCCTCCGCCCGCCGTCCCTCCGAGGACGCCGAGGACCGGGAGAAATGCGGGCGGCTCCGCAGCTGCAGCGGCGGTATCTGGCTGTCGGTGGACGCCATCCGGAGAGAACCATTATCAGTCCTCTGTGGGCCGGATCGCTCGGCGATGTGGAGGCCGTTTATTAGTCTATTTTCTGGCCCCCTGCGGTCGGCACGTTTGAGGACACTCGGAGCCGGTCGCGCGTCCGTCGCCAGCCCGAGTATAATTTGGTCGGCTGGGCCAACCTGTAATTCGGACAACTGGCTAGCCGGAGGGGGCCGCTCGGCCGAGAAATGAACGCCGGTTTGGGGACCAGGGGCGGGCCAGGTTGGCCAATAAGTGTCCGGCCGACGGCGATGTCTCGACTGTTGGATAACTCCGACCGGGACGGCGCGGCGGAACCCTTCGGGCGGCGGCCGGCCGGAGAGTGGAGAGGGCCTCTCGAGCTGGCTCGAGTGGCTGGTGAAACGTCCCGTCCACCTGGCGACGAGAGCGGACCACCGCGGCACGCTCTCCCGCTCCCACGGACCGCGGTACCAGTGAGGGGCGGGCCCGGCCGACAAGCCGACGAGCAGGCCCCCGCCGCCGCCGCCGACTGGAGAGCGCGGGCCGCTGCCGTCCGCTCGCCGCCAACGGCGGTCCCACGCGCTCTCCGCGCTCACCGCCGTCGCTCTCAGACAGTTGCGTCACAGCTCTGTTGCAGCGGCTGTCTTGCATCACGCAGATACGAGCTCATGGCCAATTATCGGCTATGAATTATAGTCGCGTTTCCTGACGGCTTGTCTGGCGGCCGCCGGGGCGGGACTTTCTCTGCCGAGCTCTGCTGGCGACCGTGGCTTTTAGCCGAGGAGGCCCCCTACACCTGCTGCGACCCCACATCCGACCACCCTGCTTCTGCCGCTCTCAGCTTCCCGATTCAAACTCTCCCGTCTCCACGACGGCAGAGCGTAGCCCTCACGACGGCACAGCCTCGAAAATTATCAGCCTGCGTATCGTTAGGCGAAATAAACCTTGGGCTTAATTGGAAGGGCGAGATAATAGTTCCATTGAAATATCAGCGCCGGATGGGTTATTTATGCGCGTTTGTTTGGCAATTACCGGTCGGTTGTGCGGCCTGCGTGCGAGTTGAGCCGAGGCCGACCGACCCGCAGTGGGGGGCATCTTCGGACCGGGCGCCGCTAATTGACGGAGCCGTGATGGTGAGGGCCCCGGCGTGAGGGAGCCATCCACGAGCTCCGTGTGCCGTCGTTCAGTGCTCACCGTGAACTTCGGGTAAGAGACATGCGAAGGAGCCACAGCGAAGGTGGCGGGGAAAGGGCAATGACGGTGGCGATGGCGGAGGCGATGACGGCGATGTTTGTTCAGAGTTCCTGCCGTGACGCGCGCGCCACCATCACTCCGGGCGATGCCGGCGGCGCGGTCTGCTCTGATAGATGGAGTCGCGTCAGCGCCGGTCCTGTGTTGACCGGGCCCGTCGGACCCACCGGCCGGCACCCCTTCATTACGTCCACCCGACGGACCGGGCCGGACCGGACCGGGGCGAGGGACCCGCCTCGCAGGGCGACCGCCAACGGTCGGCCGGCCTGGTATCACCGAGCTGAAGGCGATCCGGTATCACTGAACGCTGTGGCGACGTCACTTGACATAAAGCTGGGAGGAATTGCCGAACAGGACATTCCTTGCAGTACAGAGACCACTCACAGCGGGTCGCTGGCCAACCGACCCGGCTGTCTCTGCCCTTGCTGAGTCCGCTCCCGCCGACCGTTGGCTGTTCAAACCGCCCGGCTCTCTGAGGACCGGCGTGACGAAATTCGGGGATTGGGGCGGCGAAGAATGGCCCGGCCCGTCCCATACAGGAGCGAGAATCGAGACATGTGTGGGCGAAGGACGGTAGCGGGCAGCCTTATCCCGACTCATGTCTCCTTTTGTGGTTGGTATGTGTGACGCAACAGCTGACCGATTCAGATTCTATTCACATACCCGCGAGCTCAGGCGTCGCTCATTTCTTCTTCCATGTTACTCATGTTTGCCTTTGTCCATGTTTCCCCTGTGCTACTGCTTCTCTCTTTAGTGAAATATCTCAACAGTGTCTTCTTCTCCCGTCCCCCCATCCCGTCATTACTCGCAGCAGTCGGACCTAACCTCCCCGCCTTTCTGTTTTCAGCTGTCCGTCGACTCGTGACCTCTGGTACAACAAACTGCACCAGATGATCACTGACGAGCGTCAGCACGAGGCAAAGGCCACCACCATCCAGGTGGTCTACTATGACCAGGTCAACAACATCGACTTTGTGAGTGATGGCTGTGCTAAGCCTGAGGTCGGGAGTTGGTGTGGACGGGAGGGTGTGGGCGTGTAGGGAGGTGAATGGGTGCGACCGCTACGGGGTGCCCGGTTTTTGCTCATGCTCATTTGCAATGAATGGCGAATCAGCTGAACAAACGTTAGATGGTCATTGATAATCTGATAAATTCATCGTGCAGACGCTATCGGCCCGGACATCTTAATTAAGTTGAACGAACTTTGCTGCACGAAACCCGACTGGCATTGACACGGATCGCACGATCTTTCAGAATCAATGGGTCGGCCGTTCACGTTTGATATCGTGTCATATTTCATCGCCACTGCGGCTACCTTGCTCCCGATACCCCTCCCTCCGCTGACCCCTCCCTCCTGTCGACAGTGTAAAACTCTGAGCGTGGGCTCGTCGCTACCGGCGCGCGACTGTGTGCGGTACGCGCTCACCAACCTGGAGATGTCGGGCGCCAGTCCGGCCGACTACCGACTCTGGGTGCGCACCGGAATGGAGGACTCGCCGTACCCGCTCATCGGTCACGAGCTGCCGTTCGCCATCAAGATGAACTTTGTCCGAGAGTTTGTGTCGGAGGACGGCGCCGAAATGGATCACTGCAATAACATCTACAATACGGAACCCAGCCTCAAGTGCCAGTTCATTCTCAGGTGAGATTTCGACGAGCTTCAAGTGATCTGTGATATAGAATGGGATGGAAGGACAGAAAGGGCAGTGCGGGGCGGACGGGCTGGAAGGGAAGGCACACGACGCGACACGAGACTTACCTGCAGACACATGTCGTGCCAATCCCGACGCGTGCTGGCGCGATCTGGCGCGATAGCGGCGCGTGTGAGCGCGATTGTGGCGCGTCACGTTTGTCGCCACCGGCGACGGTGTCACACGGCGCCGTGACGCGGTTCGAGAGGCGCGTCACGTAGCGTCACGGACCGGCCCGATTCGACCGTAACTGGGACGCAACACTTCATGTGTTGTGGTGGGCGGGGCGCTGTACCAACCGCTCATGTTCAGGGCATTAAACCGTTAGTGGGGCGAGAATGTGTTTACAGTATGATTACAAAGTGGTGTCGGCTATAAAAGTGTGAATTCATCATAGCCTCATAATGCTGTTAAATGTGAGGTTTCTGCAACACTCACCGTTGAATGTAACAAAACTACGCTATCATCGTTACCGTTCTAACAACTAGTCATCTACCCCTTCTCAGACACGCCAGGAAGAACTGCCTGACACCCTCTCCGGACGCCGCCAAGAAGAAGAAGGCTCTGAAGAAGTCACCTATCCGCATCCATAAGGTGTTCAGGCGCACCAACAGCAAGTCGGACAGCATCGACAGCGCCGTGAGCGCGTGCAGCACTGGTTTGCTGTTTGGTCAACCGCTGAGTCGACTATGCGAGAACGAGACGCTCCCCAAGCCAATCATGGTGAGTGCTAGAACACGACCGCCAGGTGCTAGAAGCTTGGAGGGTACGGGCAGGGTATGGACGGAGTAATAGTGGGGATATTGGGGGGTTCAGTGAGATACTGAGGGAAGTACAAGCTCAGGAGCGCGGAAGTGGGAAGTGGAGGGTCGCCGACCGCCTGTTCCGTGGCTGCAGTGCTCTTGTAAAGGCTACTAGCAGTGACCTCTGGGACATGGACATAAATGTGCGGTTGGGAAGCTAGAGCTTTTGTATTCTGTACTAGACATGTTAACACCCGGTAAAAATGATTGAAATGTCGAGGGTGAAACTTATTGACTATTGGAGCGAAGCTGCTGAATGTGCTTACTGTCATTGGAACGTGACCTTAACGGCGACTTGTTTTCCCACAGGACATTCTTGTCCAGCTGTTCATGAAGGGGCCCTTCACCGTGGGCATTTTTCGCAAGTCTGCTAATGCCCGGGTGGTGAAGGAGATGAGAGAAAAACTCGACAGCGAAATAGAGGTAAGCTCGATTCATGTCTCTAGCAGTGTTGCAGCTCAGATTGTGCTGACTGTAAAGATCACACATCCGTGCCGTTTTTAATGTGTATGGGGACGGCGGGGCGCCCTGCAGTCTGTGTTGGGCCCCACTCGGCCGTTGGCACTCGAGAGAGCCCAGTCTCCCTGTGCGGGCATTGCTCTTCCCGAGAGAAAGCCACCTCGCATTGTCCGGCCCCGCCCCGCTCCGAGCAGCGCGCACACGTCTTGTAAGTCGACTGTGACATTTCGATTGACCGTGTGCGCTGCGGGGCCGCGGAATTTCTCATGGTCATGAACACGGCGTAACCTCGTCATGAACGCTGCGTCACGCGCGGTGTGCCTGATGTCATTGTAACAACGACTAGTGCCGCCCCGCCCAGCCCCCTATTCCCGCTCGACCCTGACGCCGACTGTCTATATCTCAGGTGAACATGGAGTCAGTGAACATCTACGTGCTGGCTGCTCTGCTGAAGGAGTTTGTCCGATCGCTGCCGGATGCTCTGCTCGGTTCGGACCTTTACGACGAGTGGAGGATCGTGCCTGAGATCGAGAACGAACAGGAGAAAATCAACCGAGTCCGAGCGTAAGTAGAGACAAACACTTAACCCGCGCACCGACGGGGGTCTGCGCCAACTTCGCACCGACGGGGGGGGGGGGCGGATGACCGCCCCCCCCCCTGAGATCTCGAGAACGAAGTAAGATAGCGACAAGCGGTAAACGGCATCGGATACGCACGGCCAAGATCTACAATTTTTACTAAAGTCATTTTCAGGTCAGGTCAAAGATGACGTCACAGGGGTCGAAAAAGTCAAAATGGCGGCGCTAGATATGGAGAGAGTTTTTCTCGAATAACTTTCGAATTAGTCAAGATAGGAACAACCTAAGGGCATCATCGTGATCCTCTCGTCAACCCGCATCGAATGATATATATGTTGACCTCAAAAGGTCAAGGTCAAAGGTTGATCTCAGGTCACGTGACCTCGAGGTCATCATGTATATCATTTGATGCGTCTTGACGAGCTGAACACAATGAGACCATCCACGCGTCTGTATCTTGTTCCTGTACGGAGTTATTGGCCAAAAACCTTTGGTGACCTTTGATGACGTCACATGACCTCACAGCTGCCCAACAGCAAAACAGACCTCAAGGTAGTGAAGGTTGATCGTATATGAAGTCATGTATGGTATATGGGGCCATTCCGACCCGTTTTAGTGGTAAAAACAGGGAGTTGATTTTTCCCCCATTGACTTATAATGGGGAGGTCGCGAAATTGACCTGACCTTATGTCACCGATATCAAAATTCCGAGATAAACAAATTGTAGCTACTAATGACCTAATAATATCCTGCGACTTTCAAAGGCCTCCGACATCTACTGTAGCTCTGGCACGGTGACAAAGTTGCAAAAAAGTGACTTGAGGTTGGGTCATTCAAAGTGACCTGGTGACCTGACCTAAAAAGGTAGGAGGTTCAAACTTGCACACCATGTGCAAAATTGATGAGGTTATAGTCATACTAAATTTCGCGGTGCTACGCGCCGCGGTTTTCTCGCTATTCGCGAAAAACCTCAGGGGGGGCGGATATCCGCCCCCCCCCCCCGTCGGTGCGAGGGTTAAGAGTTTAGGACATACCTCATGGGTGGTATCATTGCCAATGTGCGCTTTCATGGTGCAAATGGCGGTGCTTTGGTCCGATTGTTTGAATACTTTGCCGCCTCAGTAAGGTTCCTGCCTTATCTAACGACCGTTTCTCTCTTACAGGTTGTGCGGCCGACTGCCGGCGTGTCACGTCACCCTTCTCTGCCACCTGCTCTGCGTGCTCCACTACATTGCCCGGCGCAGCCACCACAACCTCATGTCGGCGGCCAATGTGGCTGTCTGCGTGGGCCCCTCGCTGCTGGCGCCATCCAATCCGGCCCAGGTGCTCACTTCCGACAACGCCAAACTTCTGCCGAGCGTAGTCGAGTTTCTGATCGAGCACTGCGCGCAAATCTTTGGTGCCGACGTGCTCAACTTGTTTGGACCACCGCCGGAGCGCGAGATGCGCACGGACAGCGGCGCAGAGGAGTCCGACAGCCTGCACAGCTGTGAGTATAGCGGGGTGATAGAGCGGGAAGCAGGAGGGTGATGATGCTGTGTTAGATAATCGGGTCTCTAAATGCATAAGCGAAGTACATTGTCTCCCAATTGAGTAAAAACCTCATGGATTTAAGAACGGTAAATGAATGATAGTGAAAGGAACATGAAGCTAGGACAGAGAAAGTGAAACAAGCATGGGTCTTTCGTTGCGTCCTCTTATCGTATTATTTTGTTGGCAAACTCTCACATGATCCAGAAATATTGGTTATCATTTACTCTGTACCTGAGCAGCTGAGCTGTTAAAGCGATGGCTTGATATTTTAATTGACTGTACCGTATTTCTTCTCCCACAGCTGGTGGTGTGCGGAGAGACGACTCTTCCATCGACAGCCTGGAGCGCGAGCTGCTGGGCGAGAACGAGCCCCTCCCGCGCAAGGACAAGATGTCGGTGACAAATCTGAGCCGCGACTCGGGTCTGACGCTCTCAGACACTCAGCTTTACGCCCCGGATGACGAGGAGGCCGGTAGCACCTCGTCAGGCCACAGCGGCCAGAAGAGCGTCACCAGCGTGTACTCGAGCGGCCGGGGCTCGGACGCCGGCTACCGCCACTACCCGGCGCCGGCCAACCCCAGCGCCATCTACGCGGCCGTGTGTCGCCGCCAGCTGGCACCGTCCCAGTCGAGCCCGGCGGCCGGCTATGGGCGGCCGCACAGCCCCCCAGAGGGCGTATATGCGCGCCCGCCGGCCCGGCACACCAACACGAACTTCAAGCGGCAGGACTGGACGCGCCAGCACCACCCGCTGCGCCGCGCTGGCCGCCAGCTCGGTGAGGGACGCGCGCCGATGCGCCGCAGTGCCTCCGAGGAGTCGCTGCTCAACAACTACAGCAATTACGGGCGTGCCTCTCCGGCGGCGCGGAGGGTCAGTCCGCCGCCGACGCCGGCGCGAGCCAGCCTCTCCCCGCCGATGGTGCGCTCGAAGTCGGCGCACCACATCGTGGAGCGGCGCGACGCGGGCCCGCCGGCCTCGACGGCGCGCGACCCGCCTACCCCATCCGACTGGCAGCGCTCGCGCTCGACGCCGCACATTGACGAGGTGGACCGGTCGTACGACTCGTCGACTCTCTCCGACGATGACTCGACGCCGCACGTGTCTCGCTCCAACTCTCGGAGCAAGGACTGCGCGCTGGCTAACGACCTCTGGGAGCGGACGTACGGAACTCTGGATAATCGTTCCGACAGTGGTTCGCACGCATCTCGCCACAGCAGCTTCAAGTCATCGCGCACGGGCAGCTTCAGCACGGTACGTAGCACCGGGACGGTACGCTCGCTGGAGACGGGCACGCCACCCAGCTACGAGCTAGCTGTCAGTCGTCGCCAGTGGTATCAGAAGCCGGGCAGCGGCTCGGCAGCCAGCACACCGCCGCGACCGGCCGGCCACGCGGTACCCGAACAGCTGATCCGCGAGCAGACCATCCTCTCCAGCCGCGCCAAGCAGCTGTACGAGGAGAGTCTGAGGATCTACGCGCAGCAGACGGCGGGGCCGGACATGGTGCACGCCTCTCCCGTGTGCGCTGTTCCCGGTGATGAGGCGCCGCCGCCCCCGCTGCCGCCCAAGACCGAAGCGCCGCCTCTGCCGCCCAAACAGAAGACCCCGCTGAAGCGGCTCAACGGTTCGGGCTCCTCGGGCAGTCGGCTAAAGCAGCTGCCGCCGGTGCATGTCAACATCGGCGCCGACACTCCGGCGCGGCGGGGAGGCGAGCAGCCGCCGGCGCTGCCTCCCAAGGAGCGCACCGTCATCCAGATTGGTGCCGAGACGCCGACGCCGGCGCGGCCGCAGCGGCCCAAACGCAAGGTCTCCAAGCGCGAGGTGGAGACCCAGACCGAGTCGGAGCTGTCTGTGGACGAGCCCTGGATGCCGCCTCACGTCACCCTCGTCGAAATCGACGCGCCCGTCTCGACCGTGCCGACGTCGGTGGGACCGAGCGAGCGGCGGGGCCGTAACCGGCGCCGCGACCGGCTGGCGGTGCGCTCCCGGTCCCAGGGCGACCTCGACCAGGAGCCGGAGCCGGAGACGGAGCTGGAGTGGGCGGGCGATGAGCCGGCCGAGCTGCGCTCCGAAATCAACTGGTCCGTGTCGCGGCTGCGGGCCATGTTCAGTGACGCCGGTGGTGGCGGCGGCGGCGGCGGCCCGCCACCGCCGTACCGGCACCCGCCGCTGCACCGCGCCGCCGCCGGCGACGTATACGCTGCGCTGCCGGCGCCGCGGCCCGCCGCCACCGGTCACAGACGCTCTGACTCGACGTGCAGCTCCAACTATGGCGAGGAGTCGTATGTGTGACGCCCGCCGCGGCCGGCCCCTCGGAGGCAGAGAATCTAAGTCAGCGGCATCCCGCGCCGCGCCAGTGTCCGCGCCCATTCCTGTGCTACCTCAGAGAGCGGCCCGTCCGGCCGCATTGTGTACATAGCTGTCAGTGGGTTTGTGAAGCATGTGTGCAGGTGCGTGTGTGTTTGTGTGTGTATCAATACTCTGCCCATTTCCATATGTGGTGCTCAAAGCGCGGTGCGGCGCATGGAAGATGATCCCGCCGATAGCGCACGAGATCGACAGTATTTTGTAGCGGCACAGCTGAAACTACGAGCTGTGCCGACATTGCGCCTACACCGAGCAAGAGAGCAATATATCTAGACCGTGAGGCGTGACGGATGATATGCGACAAACGCATCATGTAGTGTAAGTCTGTCTTTTGCGCAGACGAGCTGAATTCTATTTCTTGACGTGTTAATGTTATTGTAGAATAATGTGTTTCCATGTGTATGTACTGTGTAATGTCACAAGGTTAAAATACAGAATGACCATGATGTTACTTCTTTGGATTGGATGAAGTCTAGTTTGAAATAAGGAAGGTAGAAATAGCTTGGTTCAGGTTACCGGGAACGATTTTCAAGTGGGGTGGGGTTGGGGTATGGGCGAACATCAAGTATCCGACATCATGCACATCAAACGATACATTGGTAGTATTTCACGTGCAGGGTGATGCACCACACAGCCACGCAAAGGCGTAGGAACGTTTTCGAAAGTGGGGGGCCAGGCTCCCAGAGGTCTAAAGCCTAACCTACCCGCAAAATCCAATTTCTCCTCGGATTTCAGCCACTTTGTTTTCGCAAACATGCTAGAGGTAAAAAAAATCTAGACAAAAAAATGGTTAAAATTTCAGGGAAACTCCCTTCCAGAAACTCAGATGGACGCGTTCCCCTGTCCTCCGCAGCCGTTGGCACCCATGCAAATTCCAGAGGTATCCAGCAACTTTTTTATTACGAGCGAGCGTGAAACGTGCAAAGCGAGTCTTTTCAATATACCTATAAAAATCAGCATGAACGGCCCAGCTAGGCTCAGACATACTTGTAACGTTTTTAAGAGGTCTTTATATCAGCGACCACTGCAACTGGGCTGATTGACTTATCAGAGGCCGGTGTGGGTTCTTTAGAGGCTGGTTTGGGTCCTCAGAGGCCAGTATAACCCTCGCCAGACCTATAGGTTTTCTACAAACTGGCCAGGGGGGGGGGGCGGGTACGACACCCCTCGCCGTTTCGCCCCTGGTGGAGCTAGCGCGTCGCGGAAAAAAACGAGCGTGTGCGCCGTTAGGAGACACAGAGATTGATACCCGATTTTGAAGTCCTAGGAAGTCTTTGAAGTCCGATTTGAAAAAATGTCATACTTAAGCCAGTCTGCCTCGTCACCCCTCACTACAAACACTTAAACTATCCTTTCATAACATTCGTATAAATATTAGGGTTGTATGGTATAACATTAACAGCTCAATTTTTAGCTAAAAACCCTTAAAACATCATTTTTGCTATATAACTTTAACAATAGGCATACAATTTTTGTTAGCGTTAACTTTTACGCTAGCGTTACCTCAGCTGCCACGCTGAAAGGACAAACACTTAACCCGCGCACCGACGGGGGGGCGGATATCCGCCCCCCCCCCTGAGGTTTTTCGCGGATAGCGGGAAAACCGCGGCGCGTAGCGCCGCGAAATTTGGTATGACTATTCTCTCATCAATTTTACACATGGTGTGCAAGTTTGAACCTCCTAACTTTTAAGGTCAGGTCACCAGGTCACTTTGAATGACCCAACCTCAAGTCACTTTTTTGCAACTTTGTCACCGTGCCAGAGCTACAGTAGATGTCGGAGGCCTTTGAAAGTCGCAGGATGTTATTAGGTCATTAGTAGCTACAATTTGTATATCTCGGAATTTTGATGTCGGTGACCTAAGGTCAGGTCAATTTCGCGACCTCCCCATTATAAGTCAATGGGGGAAAAATCAACTCCCAGTTTTTACCACTAAAACGGGTCGGAATGGCCCCATATACCATACATGACTTCACATACGATCAACCTTCACTACCTTGAGGTCTGTTTTGCTGTTGGGCAGCTGTAAGGTCATGTGACGTCATCAAAGGTCACCAAAGGTTTTTTGCCAATAACTCCTTACAGGAACAAGATACAGCCGCGCGGATGGTCTCATTGTGTTCAGCTCGTCAAGACGCATCGAATGATATACATGATGACCTCGAGGTCACGTGACCTGAGGTCAACCTTTGACCTTGACCTTTCGAGGTCATCATATATATCATTCGATGCGGATTGACGAGAGGATCACGATGATGCCCTTAGTTTGTTCCTATCTTGACTACTTCGAAAGTTATTCGAGAAAAACCCTCTCCATATCTAGCGCCGCCATTTTGACTTTTTCGACCCCTGTGACGTCATCTTTGACCTGACCTGAAAATGACCTTAGTAAAAATTGTAGACCTTGTCCGTGCGTATCCGATGCCGTTTACCGCTTGTCGCTATCTTGCTTCGTTCTCGAGATCTCAGGGGGGTCGGTCATCCGCCCCCCCCCCCCCGTCGGTACTAAGTTGGCGCAGACCCCCGTCGGTGCGCGGGTTAAGCATTGTATTGTAAATAATTTAGCCGGGAACGGGGTGGCCGGCCGCTTCCCCCGCGCCCGGGGATACCCCGGCTTCCCCTACCTGTAACGCACGAGTGAGGAATGAGCGTGCCCGCAGACGAATCGGTAGGCCGACTCGGCGCATTGCTCATTGTGCAGCGGGTTCGATTCAATCATTCAGATTCGAGCCATCAGACCGGAACATTGCTTTTAAAAAGGTCATGCATAAAATGGGTTTACTGCCGGATGTACGCCGTTACGAGCCGGATCTGTCAACATTACCAGTCATTCGCCGTTTGTTACTGTATATTTATTTAAATGTAATTTCCTTCACACAGAAACAAAGGCATGAGAAAGCTGCAAATACGACCAGAGTTTTTATTTGTTAGTTTTTATTTGAGTACGGTGAACGGTCACAGGTGCGCATAATTGTCCTGCAATTAATTTCAAATGGCGTCAGTCACCATCTGACTTGTTTTCTGTGCGGTGAATTTTCCTGCAGAGTGCAGTGCGTCTAAGGAATGTCCCTGCAGCACGAAATACGTCGTCTTGGCTCCTGGTAACTCTATTGCAGGTGCGACCAACAGTGTCTTTCATGAAGAGCGGAAGCACGATGCCGTTATCCCTGTTGCGAACCGTTCTGCTTCTGGCACGGAAAGTCTCCGATGGTTTAGGTACCTATTATGTGTAGCTGGGAACATCCCACCCTTAACCCTCACCGGTAGGGGAGACGGTGGGGTAATTTGGCCGGTGGTGTAAATTGGCCGCCCCCACCTGTACGAAAGCTGATAAAAGTGAATGAAATAACTTAGGTCTCTATTCATTTGTCATCGGCAGAATTAACTCGAGAACAAATATCAAAACTTTCCCCCTCTTAGTTTTATTCAAAATTAATAAAAGGTGAATTACGTTAGAAAATGGTAACTTTTACTTCCGTTTAAAAATTTGTATAACATGTAGTATTTGGGCTGTAAACGAATTAAAACATTATAGCGCCATTTTTGAGGGTGTTCAGCGGCTCCAAGAGCAATTTCATCTAGTTCTGTACAGCCATGACGACTTTATAGACAAAAAATTTCAGAATGGCAATGTGGGGTTATTTGGCCGGGACTAGCGGGGTAACTTGGCCGGTGCGCTCAGAGTCACTATGCTGGGACGGCCGAGTTGTCATGGTCAATTATACCATAAAGGACATAATTCATGACCAACTTTGACTACCTTGATGCCATATTTCCTATTGGACAGCTGTAAGAGCATGTGACGTCATCAAAGGTTACCTAACGCTTTTTTGCTAATAAATACTTACAGAAAAACGATACAGCCGCGCAAATGGTCTCATTGTGTTCAGTTCGTCAAGGTGCATCGAATGATATACATGATGACCTTGAACTCACGTAACCTTGAGGTCAAGCGACCTGAGGTAACGAGACCTGAAGCCAACCTTGACCTTGACCTTGACCTTGACCTCTCGAGGTCAACACATACATGTTTCGATGCGGAATGACGAGAGAATTACGATGGTGTTTTTAGTTTTGGCCTAACTTGATTACTTCAAAAGTTATTCGTAAAAAAAAACTGTCATCGCATCTAGAGCCGCTATTTTGACTATTTTGGACCCCTGTGACGGGTGAGTCAACCTCCAAAATGCTTCAAATGCATCGTAGGACACGCGTCATCGCTGAATGTGAAGCTGACTCGCCTATAACAAAAATAATGGCCTCAAACTAACACCGGCCAAATTGCCCCACACCCCCGGCCAAATAACCCTGCTAGTGGGGCAATTTGGCCGCTTTGCAGACCTTTGTAATCCGCCACAATTTAAATATAAGTAGTTACTCAATCATTTCAAGTTTACTGTCCAAGAAAGTAAAATGTATGCCACACCTGTCCGCGTTGAGAAAATGCAGAAATGTGTTGTCGATTTTTAGTTACATCGTTTTCTAAAAAAAGCGGCCAAATTACCCCACTCTCCCCTATACCTAGATAAGGCCCCCCCCCCGGTTTTCCCGAATAACTCGCGTCGCGTAAAAAGTGGCCGATCGCAACGAAACTTTCAGTGCCCTCTCGAGTTAACCCGCGCCCCGTAAGGCTATCGGCGGATTCGGCTACCCGTAGGAAGGGGGGTCGCCCCCCCCCCTAAGAACGTTATCGGCCGATTTTCAAAATTCAAATAGTGCTTGATAGCCCCACCAGGGAACTACCTTGTGACCTAATTTTATTCACCTCGGTCCAACCAATGACGTCACAGGTCAGGTCAAAGGTCGCATTTTCACCGTTTACAGGCATTCCAAGAAATGTGTCGTGAACTCGAGTAAAAGGCATCTTATTGAAAATCATCGATTTAAGATTGCTCGTCAAACACATATTTTGCTAGCTGAGGTCACTGATCCCAGGTCAGGTTACCGATGTCAGGTAACTGAAGGTCACAATATGCAAGTGTCGTGTGATACGTGTTTTATGGTCCATTTTACATGACACATGCGATTATGTGGGTTAGGCAGACTTTGGGACCAGCTAGGGTTTCGTTCTGGTCAAGGTCAGGTCAAGGTCAGGTCAACTTAGGTCAAATTTATAAGTTGATATTTTTGCATAAAATGGGTATTGGTTCGATGCACCTTGTCATGGAGAGTCTAATGGTCGTCTTTGTTTTGCGCTACGTGCATGGGTGGAGAATGTTTGAAAAAGTTACCCCGGCCGGCGACCGAAAGTCAGAAAGACGATGATGCACTAATATTTGTCAACGGTTATCAACAAACCCCTATTCTGTGGCATGGAACAATGGATGTCTGCCGTTACGAGTTATCCAATGTTTTATTTGCAGTGATTTAGGTCGAATTTTTGAATGGATCGATTGACAGAGCCGGGGGCCCACGCTAAGCAGAGCTTGTTGCGTAGGTAGACCCCG